TAACCAAATCATATTCATATATAAATTAAATTATTTAGTTCTTGCTCTTTGCTCCTTAAGTGTAACTCTATGTGGGGGTGCCTGTGGGGCAGTTCTCACGTTGGCAGCTGGGGAAAGTGGAGCTCCAGGCGTTGCCCCCCATACACACCACCAGAGGATCCCCCACCAGGTTGTAGCCTGTATCACACAGGAACTCCACAGCGCGCCCGGTGTTCAGGTTGTGCTCCTGCACTTTGCCATGCGGCACCTGCCTCGGGCTGATGCAGCCTCTGGCCGCTGACAAGACAAACAGTAATACAGACTTTTTATTGATGCATCATTCTGGGTATTTTATTTCCACTGCTTAAACTTCTGTGTGCCCACATCACAGGACTTTGTGGAAATGATGTGTGTAACTTTTAATCCATTCTATTTGCTTTACCTTCACACGTAGGAGCTGGCAGGCTCCACGTGCCGTTGGCCAGACAGGTGAGAGTCTTAGAGCCGACCAGCTGCAGCTCCATATTGCAAACATAACTGGCGTTGTGTAGGTAAGTCTCCCCAGTCACGTGGATCTGTGCATTGCGTACCGTGGGAGGACGCCCGCAGGACTGTGCTGAGGAGACGATTGACAAGAATGGTCAGAGGTGTGGTAGGAATGATGTGTTCATAACATAAACGGTTGCATGCCATGAGAAACTCTACATTATTATAGTCTACACAGGACTGTGTATAAAGATGACAGCTCCCCGAAAGTTAAACATTTAGTTTTTGTCAGAATTTACGTTCTTGGATTTCGAAGAAGGCGTGGCCAGTGTATTGTCCTTTCTTGTGTCATGATCTTAATCTTAAAGTGTGTTCCCAGCTTTGGATTTATTCATTCATTGTCACTGCATCCTGTACAATGACAATAAAGTTTATTATTCTCGTGGCAATGAGTGTCGAGGATGACAAGGTCACGGTGAGGCAACAATTTACTTCATCACACGCTGATTGGAAGTGAACATGGTGGGGACGGTTTGCCACTGATACATTTGTGTATGTGTGACAATACATGAGGATTAAATATGTGACAGTTACAGATGAACACAAACGTACCAACACACACTGGCTGGGTGCCACTCCACGCTCTGTCTCCCTGGCAGGTCTGGATAGAGTCTCCCTGCGGCAGAGAGAACAGTGTAAAGCTACAGAGTCGAGCACAGAAACCCATCAGCAAAAACCTAATATATATCAAATATAAACCATTAAAATTGATTTTTACAAATATATTTATTTATTTATATATGTACATTTCTTTATTTTCAGACTGAAGCCTCACTCTCTGTGAGTCTTCAGTGTATCACACTGCTCTCACTGTAGCAGGCACTCAAACAGGGGAGGGTAGTATTTCAGTGGAGGAGTGACTCAGCTCCATCTGCTCTGCAGCAGCACATTCCTAATGACCACTGAAAAGAAATCATGTGACTTTGTGTAACCTGATTGTTCACTATCAGCTCAGAGTGAAGAGCCCTCTGTTGTGTTACAGGAAATGAGAGACCAATGAGCTACTGTCAAATAGCTTTTGCATTTAAGGGTTTTAGAAAACAAGGGGAAAGATAGAATGTTTTCACAGTATAAACCTATGGATTACCCAAAAACTGCAGGACGGAATATCACTTAACTTGCTGGAAAGAACTCCAGGAATCTTCTTTATCGCTTTCTTATTAATTGCAAGATTTTTTCAACATATCAGCTAATTTCTAATAGAATAATTGAATGGACATGTTTAGGAGACTGATATTTCTGAGTGCAATTTGGTGCAGGTCCAAATAAGAATCTGGATTCAGTGAATTTGATTATGGTTAAATAAGGGGACTGGTGGGCCTTGGCGGAGGTACGCGCCCTCTGAGTGATTAGGTTTGTTTTTTTCCAATACGGCTGTCTGCATGTTTGAAGGTGACAACATTTGTGAGATTCTGTTTCTTTTACAACATCATAAGCTAAAGAAAAATGTGGCCTGATGAGCACCTTCATGTAAAAGCCAGGGAGGCAGGAGTACATGACAAAGTCTCCATAATTGTAGCTGTCGCCCTCTGTGACGCCGTGAAGAAGAGGGGGCGGTTTCTCGCACACCACCAGCTCGCAGGAAGCTGTCTTGATGCTCGGAGTCCAGTTTCCACCCAGCTTATCCCATGAGACAAAAGACAAGACAGAAAGGTGATACATTATTCATGGTTTCCTGTTGACGTGTTCAGTGTGCCAACTCAGAAAGAAACCATTGAGTCAACTTTTATGACTATATCTTAAATAGTCTGTATCAGTAAAGGTTCAAATGTTTCAAATCCACTCTTCATACGTACAGTGACCAAAAACATTTTGGTTTATGATTTAATATCAAATCATTACCTGACATTCAGCCAGTGCTGAGCCTTGCAGGAAGAAGCCTGGAGGGCAGGAGAGACTGATGGTGCCCCCAACAGGAGTGAGCTCCTTTCCAGTGATTACCACATGAGGGATGGAGAAGTTGCTGGGCAGCGGGCAGGGGGTGGGACGGCACCGGATGCTATGTTTGGACCATGTGCTGTCGCTCTGGCAGGAGAGAGAAGCTGTCTGTGTGGCAAATTCATACCCATCGTCACACCTGTCAGCGAGGAAAACCAAATGAGATTTAAAACACAATCTGAAATGTCTTTGACATGGTTCTTCAATAGAAGAACCACACAAGTTTAAAGATAATGTTATTGAACTGCAGTTTCTCTGGTATTAACATCCATCTTATATAATCAACGGTGGAAAGTGCAGGTGTTAGTGCAACGAGGTCACAATTGAGATCCGATCACACAGATCACATTCTGAGGTGCCGTGGGACACAAACAGTGTGAACACAAAAACACTCTGTGGTTTCGGTGCTGTTGTTTTGAAGCCTCAAGTTTTGGTATTTATCTAGCACCATCTTGTTTTTTTAAAAACTAGAAGTAGCGGTTGATGGAGCCTGACTGAAGATACACATCATGGTGTGTCTGACCAGGCGCTTCCTCATATTACGTCATTGTAGAGCTGTGTGCACTGCAATGAAAAACTCAGCCACTCCTCCATCTCTCTGTCTCACACACATACACACACAC